GGATCTGCACCGGTGTCGTGTACTTGCTTTCCCCCTTCGCCGCTGTCGCTTTTCGGATTCTCACCCAATCGCCCGACCCGAATGAGACTTCTTTCGCCGCTCTTCGATTATCTGCGTACGTTTTCTGGTTATTCTGTTTTTCCAGTACTTGCTTTCGCAGCGTCTGATCACTTTTCTCGCGTTCCATGTGTCGTCCGATCACGTCTACCCGGGTTCTCATCCTACGTCCATGCAGGAGCTCTGCTGGCGATTTGCCTGTGGTTGCTTGTGGCGTCGCGTTGTATGCTCCTATCATCTCTCGCAGTCCCAGCCGGATGTTTTTGTTGGTTGCCTTGGCTGTTTCGAAGAACCCTCCCAACGTGCGATTGAACCGTTCGCACAGTCCGTTTGCCATGGGGTGGTACAGCGGGGTTTTCACGTGCTGTATTCGGAATTCCGTTAACATATTCTGGAACTCCCTGCTGATGAATTGTACACCGTTATCGCTTACGATGTATCGTGGGATTCCCTCTCTGTAAAACAGGCGTCTGAACATCTCCACCACGTGAGCCGCCGACACCTCTGACATAAGTTCTACCTCTGCCCACTTGGAGTAGTAATCGATGATTACGACTGCAAATCGATTCTGGACTCCCAACGAGCCGTCCGGTCCTATGATGTCCACCGCGAGTCTCTCCCATGGTTCTGATGGCAATGCTGTCGGCTCCATCGGCGCTGCGCGACGTTTTGTTGTCCGATCACTGTTGGCACATACGTGGCATCCTGAGATCGCTTCTTCGATCATGCGGTCCATGGCCGGCCACCAGTATACAGCTTTAAGTCTTTGCTTGGTCCTCACCATACCCTGATGCGCATCATTGTGTGCCAAATCGATCGCTCTTTGTCTTAATGTCGATGGTAGCACAATTAATTTACCTCGCATTAACACATCATCTTCGGTCCACAATTCCCCTGCAATCGCTGACCACCATCTATCTATACGCTCGGGGTGTTTCGCTCTCAGCCAATCCCTAATCGTTCCCTATTTCTATAC